TAAGAATCTTGCCCACATCAGCAGATAGGAGTGATGATATGAGCATACACTCCTACCTATCTTACGGGGGGGCCTCCAGTCCATTGGTGGGGAGCTACACCTGCTGGAAAGCTGTGCAGAGACGGTTTACTACCGACCTGTTACCACGGTGAAAACCTGAGCTGATGTTTTTTAGCAAACCGTGGTTCCGTTCTGCATATGATGTAAATCATGTTCTGTGAATCTGACGAATCTGACCCGGAGGTGTCAACAACAGCTGCAGTGCGTGCTGTCGCGCATGCGTGGAAGGGCCATCAACTGAATCCCCATCCCCATCCCCCTCCCCATCCCCATCACCTCATTGGGGATATTTACTCTACAGAGTCTACACAGGATAACAAAATAGCACTGCTGGAGGCGGAGTGGCTGGAGCTCTGGCATTGTAAGGGAGAGGTTGCGGGTTCGATTCTGGTGTGCCCTCACCCTCTCCCGTGTTTACTACCGTCTTCCCCCGAACATAACTATGCAACCTAAAAACGAATGTATACAAGCTATATTTCCGGCCAGATACAGCCAAAATAAGGGTCCGTTGTGTTGGGGGGAAGACGGTAGTTGGTCTTAGTTTGGCAACCGCCGAGCTGGTCTGCCACCTGATAGCGCCTAGAGAGGGAGAGGGAGAGGGAGAAAGTGAGGGAGGGAGGGGTGTCACTGGCGTTGGAGTTACGCCAGGAGGGGGGACGGGACTATCAGGGAGGACCCTGTAGGGGATAAGATTGCCCTTGGGAATGGACGGTCCTCTGTGTGAGAACCAGCGGGGACTCTGGGGGAATGATTGCCTTGGGAGACCAGATTTCATCTGGGGGGTGGGGCCTTGGCAGGTGGTTAAATGTCCATAACAAGAGAACTGAGGCTTGCCCTGGGAGTCTCCTTGGGAGTCGATCTGCCTGGGGGAGCTAGCAGGGAGGACCCTTCAAGGGATGTTTGGGGGGGGGGGGGACCGGCGGGGCCCCTCTGGGGGCTGGTCGTTGGAGGAGACCTGACCTTTTTTTTTTTTCTTTTTTTTTCCCTGGGTGGCAGGCTGGTGAGCAACGTAGTCTATACAATATGTAGCTGTTCCAACAGAATATATCACTGCTGCATATTGATCAAGAACCACAATAGCAACAACAGAATGGATATCCACAATAACAAGAAGGATATGATCCACCTGCTCTAATGGGGTTACTCAGGGGGGGGGGGGGTATACCATCACTGCGATTACTGGGGGGGGGGGGTATAGGTTAGACCTTGGCTGGGCCATTAGACACTGCTGACGGTAGGTAACAGGGTGAGAGTGGTTAGGTCTGATAGAGTGACCCAGGTGGCATTCAGGGTCTCCCACCGTGACGGGGTTTGTAGAGTGACAATGGATATATGCCTACTGTCGTCACCCTAAAATAGAACGGCCTGTCATTACAGCGGTATCTGCGTCTGGGACAACCTTCAGTCTAGATACAGCAATAATGACCGGGCGTTCTATTCGGGTGAAGACGGGAGCGTTCTTAGTCCATGCGACAGGGGGCTCGTTCGACCTATGCTTCAATGTGGGCTGAATAGGGTCTCGTGTTCAGCGCTGGCGCCTGCTACCCCTGTCCTGTGCAGCCATCCCACCTGAGATGGTCCGGGTGGTCGTGCTGAGTAGTAGACACGAAGGTGGGACTGGGGGAGTGGTAGTGAGGCAGGAAGAAAAGAATTGTCGAGAGGAGGTGGACGGAGGTGGATGGGGTCCCGTGTGTTAAACAAAAAAGAATTTAAAGTGTTTTCTCTCAAAGGAGTCAAAACAAACAAACAAACAAACAAACAAACAAACAAAAGATAGCTCCGCTGGGATTGCCCAGCACACAGCCTGCTCGCCACATATGTACCCGACTCCCCTCAATCTGCAGTAGTCCGGTGCTGAGTTGGCATGCAGATCGCATGTGTTTGCGTTTGCATCTGCATGTCGCCAACCTATTGACTTGTCAAAGTGCCACTACCATGAATCACAACCCTAAACCACCGGTACTTGGCCCAGCTATCAGTCGTGGAAAAAAATAAGAGTAGAAACGTTTCTAGTCGGATGAATTTGGGCGCTCCTTTAGTGGCCTGTACGTTTCCTAAAACCAAGTACTAAACAAAAAACAAAAAACAAAAAACAAACAAAAAAAAAAAAACAAGTACCAGCTATCAGTCGTGGAAAAAAGTAGAGTAGAAATGTTTCTACTCGGATGAATTTTGGCGCTCCTGTAGTGGCCCGTACGTTCGAGTCCTAAAACCGTGCATGGCTTGTTAAGGGGCACGACTTCAGGAAGTGCTGGATTACAGACATATGAGAGTCAGCTTCGGCACTCGGCCATGTGGTAGAGGCCCCCTAATCCTATAGGACTCCCTCCCAACCTTCTTCTTTCCTGATGATGAAGGATGGATATGGCATTGTCGAGGGTGACCGGCCATAGGGTGACCGGCTATAGGGTGACCGGCTATGGGGCCTCGCTGCACTACTCTTGAAATGTGCAAAAGACAAAAATCATGTTGCTGTATCTTTCCATGTTCTAGCGGAAGATTCACTCTCGTTTTGCATCGCTGTATCTTTCCATGTTCTAGCGGAAGATTCACTCTCGTTTTGCATCACTGTATCTTTCCATGTTCTAGCGGAAGATTCACTCTCGTTTTGCACCTTTCAAGAGTAGTACAGCGAGGCCCATGGTGTCCATTGGAGGAGGCCACATGATGAGTTGGAAAGCTGATGGCAACGGATGGATATGTCAATATGCTAGGGACGCCGCTGTACACTGTACATGGGCCCACCTATTTCGTTGAACCTAAGTTTTTTTTTTTTTTTTTTTTTTTTGGAACCTAAAAAACCGACGGCGGTTTGAAAGCTAGGAAAGCTTTCGGCGGTCTAGAAGCAAAACATAGTCGCTAGACTCGATAACTGCCGCGATCCGCATCCAACGGTCAGAAATTAGCGCTGCTATTGTTTTCCCGTTGGGGCCACTGGGCGGCTACCGGTCCAACCTTCACCCTGCTTGTTTATGGCCACCAGTTTTGGAGGAGGGGGGCTCACACGTGGTTAAAAAAAAAAAAAAAAAAACCTGGTAAAATCTGCTTGTAGAAGAGACTCAGAAGAAAGGGGAAGGGAGGCAATTCTAGCGGAGGTTGTTGCACTGAGCGGCGTTTAGCGAAGTTCTGGAATCTGAAGTTTGAATTGTGACCATCTGGACGGACAATGCTGGCAGGCCTCATAACCATACTCCTCAAAAAATAATAAAAATAATAATAATAATAATAAAAAAATCGGGAGATAACCATTGGTAACTCCAGCCAGCTGGACATAGTAGCCACTGGCGACCCGAGCCCAGCGCTAGCAGGGCCCTAGCCACTAGTGCATTGTTGGCTATGTGGGGGACTGCTAAGGCCCCCTTGGTTAGTTGGGGTGGGATTTTGCCCAAATGGCCTTTCGCACAGGCTTGAGCTAGGGGTATCAAAAAAAAAAAAAAAAAAAAAAAAAGAGCTAGGGGTATCATTTTCCTATAGAGACATGCATCGGGGCATGGGAAGGAATGTATAGCTAGGGGTATCATTTTCCTGTAGTGCCAGGCTATTCATGGTGGCACTGAAGTGCTCGAAGGGTCCATCTGTGTTTCGTCGAAGGGGCTAATATTTATCGGAAACATCAGAAAGAGACCAGATACAGAGTTTATGGATCCCTTTCCTGCAGCGGATAACCGCATTCTGACCATGCTGAGCATGATTGATTTTTTATTTATTTATTTTTTTTAAAGCAACTTTGCACGGGGTTCCAGCAGCGATCTCTGTAAAAAAAATAAAATAAATAAATAATAAATAAATAAATAAATAGAAAAAACTCGTGCGTGCCAAAGAAAGACAAACGCACAACGAACCAGTGCGGCCCTCCTTTTTTGCTGTCGAGGCGAGGCCCAAAAGTTGCAGCTGCATGCAAGC